AAGTTCTAAGCTAATACTTTTGGAGCCTAATACTAATCAGTGATCTCTTTGGTGAAGCAATTTTTAAGGAGCCAACTTGCAAGCGTTAAAGCGTCGTACTAAAAAACTGGTGGCTCAATTTAACGCTTCAGAAGTTCGCATTGACAGGAGGTGAACTTTTAATTTTTTGATCAATGCGGTCGGAGTATTGACGTCGTGACATTCCAGCATGCCACGACTGAACCAACCTTGATCCTTCTAATGGACGGTACAAGTCTTGGTTTTATTGTGGCTTTTGCGTCAATGATTTCTGTGACTAAAGCAGACGCAGCGCACATGGAACCTGATCTTCAGTCGCTGCACAAAGTTCATGTGTTCAGGCTATTTTTGACTGGGATAACTGATGGAAATTTCAAATGACATTTAGCGGGCGTAATGAGGGAACGAAAATTCGGTGATCACGGAATGATTTAACGGTCTCTATTTCGTGGCAAATACTGAATTGTTAACGACGATCGCTGCACGTGGGCAATAAGGATTGCCCAAGTTTGAGTAAATGAAGAATCTTGGGGTTCAAAAATGGTTTGGAAATTTTTACTTTTCCAGCGAGAAACTTTTATTTGCATAGTTACTTTAAAAAATTCTTCAGATAGTTATCTCCAAACCTGATTTGTTTTTTCCTTGCGAAACCTTTTTATATCTGTAATTTACAGTGAAACATTGTGTAAAATTAATTTAGATAAAGTTTTAGCAGTTTTTTGTGTTTTTCTCTTTTAATTGCTTCGTAATTTAACACATGTAACTACTGCGTTTGGAATGAATTTTGACCTCTCACAAAAAAAATTACTAAAATAAATCACAATGAATGTTGCTACCGATTTGTGTTTTTTTAGCTCATTTTTATTGTGCGGATTGCGCTACCTTTGCCGGTTGGACCGAGTCCCACAAAGCCTTCATCTGCACGGCAAGATCACGATAGGGCCGAGAACGAGCAAGTTCTGGCCCGTCTTTGTCCGTGTGCGTGCTGATCCGCGATACAAAGAAGGCTGATGTCTGGTGCGTACCCGGCCTCTATTCATTTCATGTACATCATCCGAGAATTGGTGAAAAAAATTCTCATTTGCGTACCTAGTGTGCGTGGAGATGCAGTAATTCCAAGCCATTGTGGTTATTTTGCAAAAAATTACAGAATTATGCCTCGTAAGTGTTTTCTCTCATTGGCGTGGAGATACCGAAAAATTCCATGGCCGAGGAACTAATGGAATTCGAAGCATGTTACGTTCAATTTTTTGTTTGATTGTGAAAATGATTCATACTGGTAAAAATTATAATTACTTGTGAATAACGCAGCTATTAAGTTGAGAATGAACTTGAATTGCAATTCCATCTCCCGAGAAGAAATTTGTTAGCTTGTAATCATTGTATAGCTTGATTTTTAGGTATCTCGTTGAAACTAGTCGATAGTACAAAAATTAATTCTTTCTTCCGTTCTCTTATATGGAGCATTATATTCTTTAATAGCATCTAAGTGGGCTTGGTAAAATCCATCCGTAGTTGGGCCCAAGAAAAGCGTTGCGGTATTTGCAGGTGGAACTCTTTGAACATATCGAGTGTTTGCAGGTCCGGCATAAGCAGACTTGAGGACCTCTAGATCCACTCATTCGGGACGTTAAACATTGTGTGGTTCGTTGCCAATTGAGATACGAGGGAGTTTTTCCCAAGAACTATTTGATTCTGCCAATTAAACCCGATGCCATGGGTATTTGAACGACTGTAATAAAATTTTACGGGTTTGCTATGTAGCAAGAGCAGTTTAGGAGGCGGGAAGAGAACATGTACAATTGATCTTATTGATCGAAAAGAAGAACTTGTATGTAGTGTGTTTAATGTGATACGGCCAATTATTTAGAATAGAAAGAGCAGGTTTTTGATGGACTCTTCGCATTGAATAATGACATATGTTGTGTCAAACAAGCAGTGAAATAATTTTTCAGGTTCTCATCAAAGTTTTGAACAGCGCTTCGACGGCCTGTAGTACCTAATCCGCTGATTGCTCGGAAATGCCAGATTCGCAGGCAATTTTAGCGAAATAATTTTTTGATTTTTTTTCAGCGGTTCACCGACGTAAAGGAATGCAGTCATTATTTTTATCATCTGAGATGAATTGATAAACTCATCCTGACAACATAATAGCAATAAAATTGTTACGAATGTTATTACGAAGATGAAAGGCAAGTTTGTAATTTGGTTAAGGACATTTTTTTTAAACGAAAAAAGTGTCGAACAAATGCATTGAAGAATTCGCTCAAAAAATTGTTCTCGGCTCCACGTAATGGAAGACTATGCATGACCGAAAAAAATAATTTTGCTTCCAGCAAGTATCTATTACATTACGAATATCCACTACCATTAATTTAAAAATCTCTGCCAGTTTGAATATTTTCTCAAATTCATACTTAAAATTTCATTGAACAGATGTTCTAATATTTTTCATTCAACAAATACTTTGAAATTGTTCAAATTCCCAGACCACAGATATCTTTTAAGGTTAGAAGTGAGACAAATTTCCGAGCTCAAGACCACTCGATCTTCTCGAAATCCCGAGGGCTTAAACTCAGACTTGCTCGAGCTGTGGCCACCATGCAAAAATATATTGCAAGAAACGATCTTACATAAAAAATTATAGTTTACTCTGAATGAAAAAGAATCTGAAAGGTTTTTAGTGAAATTTGTGCGTGTATTAACTATGGTCTCTTTCGTTACGCCGTTTCATTGTTGGTGATACGACATGGTTTCTATAAATGTATTTCAACTTTTTATTAATATCTGGTTTTAGTGCTTTTAGCACATACTCGCTTTACCGAAATTTTGTAATTTCATTGCAATTTTGTAAGAAATTTAGCTTAACCGATGAAGTTGGTAGATTGTATACCTAAACAAATTGGTGTGGCTTCTGCAAATAAGAAAGTCCACTTACCCGCAGATGGGCTTTAGGATATAAAAAATTTAGAATGATATTATATAAACAATGTTTCCAGGAGTGGTCTTGAAATACCCAGATTCTTTGCGAACATATTTAATAAAAATTAGTTCAAACTAGCTGTCTGACATGGTGCTGCTTGGAAGGTTGAGTCCGGTAAGCAGCAGGTGCACCCGGCGTTATTATACCAGACCTTGAGCAGCCGACCAGTATTTCTCGAAAATACTGGTTGAAAATATCTAAAATACTGCATTCTTCTTACGAATACCGCTCAGATGCATAGTAGTATAGATGCTGTGCTAAGGAGCGACCTCGTAATTAATAACAATGATATTTGTTCCTGAGAGGAGCGGGTAAAATACGACATGTCATCAACGTCATCGAAGGGGCTTGATCGACACAAACTCCTGGAAATAGAAAGTTTATATGTTTTTCTGTATATTATTATTAGATGGCAGGATTTACTTGTTTACACACGTGCGATTGATGAACAGAGAATTCTTTTCTGTATATATAGATAAAGCCTGGAATTAATTATGATGATTAACAACTGCTGTTTTAGAATCTGTTTATATTCTATCGTAATAATAATTCCTAAACGATATTAACGCTAATTTAGTAAATATACGTTCAAATGTTCAACTGAGAAGAGCCATCTTTAAATAAAAATAAAAACAACAAAATATTTGTTCCCGATTTCAATGTGATACAAAGTTAGGTCTTATGCCTACAAAAATATCCTCTGTTTGAAGAAATTTCAACTTGCTAAAAATGATATGAATAGTGGTAAACAGGTAGAGAGATATGCATTTATTCACAGTGCAAATAAATGTTTACAGTAATAGACACCAGACACGAGAAAAAACTCGCTAAAATACACGATATGAAACATAGAATGAAAACATAACTAGTAATTATTTTTTTAGTTTGAATATGAAAGTTCAGTGGGGGCGAGAGAGCCACTTCTTCCCTTATGCGATCGCTGCTTGAGCAGTAACCAGACAGCTCATAACCTCGCACCGTGTTATCCTTGTGTCAAAATTATGTAATTGAGAAGCATCAAGGGAATCTCTATTAATTTATGCCGCCGCACATATTTGTACGTTCTCGTAACTCATTTCTCGTAACTCATCAGGACGATTCTTCAATTGGAAGAAAACTTTCAGCTAGAGGGAAAATTCAAGTTATGATGCAAAATAGACATGGAATTGTTAATAATGATTTCTCAGTGAAAGAAATTACTGTCGTTAACCTTAGTGTAATATCTGTATTGCATACGCTGTCATCGTTGCGATTTTACTCTACTTCAAATATACCTTTTGCATTTCTTTTCTGTTCAGCCCAAGTGTGAGAAATTTTCAAAGTACTTAATCAAGAAATAAGTTATCATTTGAATGTGGTGCACATTTCAACATTAGGCAAGCTACAAAATTTGTTTCGAAATTCATTGTCAATAATTCAGATCTGCTGGCCTATTTGCCTTCTAAAATTTGGCATGAAGTTTTTATGATAGACTCATGCATTTTATCATTCACCGATTTTTTCTTGCCTTTTACCATATTAACTAATAACCCGTGTATATTATATATACTATAAATTTGCTTCATACCTCAGGTGGTGGATGAGTTGGACTACGACGTACTGGGCGCTGGCAGTAACAAACCCACCTCCAAGGATGAACCCTTGCTCCCGACACCATGCATGTCGCGACGACCCTCCGACACCCCGTCGGTTTGCTCCAACCAAAACCTGCGCGCTCGGTCCACCTCGAGGCGCGTGAGTTTGATCACCGGAGAGGCTCTGGAACAAGCACATGCTGCCCTGGCGCTCGCTGCACAGGCGGGCGAGTCGCCGCCACCGTTGCCCACAGCTATTGTGGCCGCTGCCACTTTCCGAACCCAGGAATCGCAGTTATCTTTAACAGATTCTTCTTCTAGGCGCCCGTCACTAACCATACCAACTACTTTGCCTGGCGATATGGAAGGGAAGAGTGGGGATGATGATAAGGAAGGAGGAACAGGGAGAGGAGGGAATGCTGGAGATGATGATAAAAATGGTGATCGGAGGGGCCGAAGAAAGAGCACAGTGAGAGAAGAGAGCGTCTCTGGGCTGGATGTCACCTCGCCGCAGAGGTAAGTTTCATAGAAAACGGACGATAAAGAAGAAAATAGAAAAGCTTGTTTTTCAGGATAGACTGCAAAAAGTTTTAGCGGCTTTTGATGTTCAGGTTATGTTTCAAAGGTAATTAAACTTGTTGTAAACAAACCAATAAATTGACTCACTATTTTCCGAAGTTGAATCGGCACACTTTCAAGCCATGAAAAGAAATGAACAACTTAATCGGCCTCTTTGAAGCGATTCATTACCAAATCCTTCGACTCAAAAGACAAAACACACATAACCCCTTATTTGGAAAACCCTCAATTTTTCAGCTCATGTTCAAAATTTTATACGATTTTACTGTTTCTCTTCCACCCATGCCGTATTTTGGGCATGTTTTGATATTTCTAAAAAAATATTTTAGCTCCAAAACTTGACACATACTGCACTATTATGACTATATCAGTTATACTCTATGATTAGATATATCATTAAAATGTAAATGCTGCAGTACTGATAGGTAACTTAAAAATTTTTGTGATGAGATATTTGCAAAATTATTCATAGTTACGAATAAGGTCTAAAGTGCGATTTCAAGCTCAACTTAAAATAATAACCCGTTCAATTAATTTATACCTTCTTGGTGCATGATTGCTTGAGTGTTTCCTTAGATGTTGTGCGCGGTAGATTCAACCTAATTTGTTGTTTTCAATAATCAAAAATAAAACTCTCATTTAGATGACTCTCTTTTCATAATCGATAACCGTAATTATTATTTTGTAATCATAGCACATTCGCCATAACAGCTGAATTTTAAATAAATCCTTTCCTCGATCGGTTAATACGTGTTTCCAGCTTCAGAAGCAATGAAATTTTACTCCAAAACATTGTAAAATTAAATTTTCAATTCATAATTCAGTCGTAATTTATTTTTTTGCAAGATCTAATAAAAAATGCATTGGGTACAATAAAACAAAAAAGATTGCTTTAGACCGCTAAGTTTACAGCATTGTTTCAATCTAATTTCTTATTTTTATAACTCCACGTAAAGGGAATGGATTACACGTAACTTTTTTACAAGAATTACAGCCGCGGATTCTCTGTGCTAGAATTCCATCAAACCAAGCTCACGGAGAAGAAAAAGTTGCGGCCAAGAGAAATGTCGAAGAGAAAGAACCGGAACAAAAACCAGTGCCGTTTTCAGATAAGATAGCCTCAATAAAAGGCCTCGGGCACAATTTTCTCTTGGTCCCTGGGTTGGAGTCTTCAGAAGACCAGGAAGCTCCTGCTAAGCTTAAGACTCCAAAGATCCAAAGGAGCCGAAGCGAGCAGGAGTGGGGCAAGCTAAGGGCCACTCTGACATGGTACTCCAAGCTACGCAAGATCAGGAGGTATCGTTCCTACATGTCCATGAGCACCCATTATGTGTGGCAAAGACACCTGCTAAATGTGCTAAATTATTTCGGTGTCATTATTGAGAGAGCGCACGAAGAAATTCACCCCAATGTGCCTGCACTCTATTGATATCCGTCTCCTTCCTGCAATCCGCACTCCTCACTGTATTTTCTTCCACTAAAAACGGGAGCTTGAAGCAAATGGATATCTGTACCTTGAGGTGGTACGTTTGTGGCATTTTTCTTAATTGAGACGCAATTATCGTTACAACAGTATTATTTACAGCTGATTACACCTGAGTCAAAGGATCGAAAACAAAAATTATCTGGCTGTGGAACTACAGGATCTGTTCTGGAATCCGGATGAATAGAGATACTCAAATGTTCGGTGTATACACCGTAGACAATTGTTTGCCGTTGTATATGTCCAGTGTCCACCTTTAATGTTCTATTGAATGTTCATAACTAGTTTTTGTTTTTTTGTATGTTCAGCGTTTAGTTAGAGGTAAATGTACGGAAAAGCCTTGACGACTTGTGTCTGAGAATACTTCAAAATATGGTTTACTGTTGAGTCACAACTAAAAGACATGAACGAATAATATTCTAACGTAAATCACAATGAGGACTTTTTAAGGTCATGTAAGTTAGCACGCAGCTCGTTGAAATCGACAAAAAAGTTCAGGAAAGGCAAAGCATGACTAACTTTTCCTGTTAGTCACCCACAATAATAAAGTTTCCTGGGGAGATGAAAAACATGATTACAAACATCCCTCGCAGTCGAACATCTGGTCTATTTCGAGCAGCCTAGATGGAACTGAGGATCTCACAGTCGCAACAACAACAAGTCATTTAGATCAGCTTTAGCGTACCGACTCAATATCCACGGACGACAGCGGCAATCGAATTCAGGATTAGACATTGCGTGGCTAAACTTGTCTCGCAATATGGGAAACAATACATGCGGCTGCGTATGGTGGAAGATTCACACTACATTAAGACGTCAAGTACACGTAATTTCCGATCCGGACTTAGCAGAAGCAACATTCAAATGTCATTACCATGAATATGATGTTTTAAAGTCAAATTTTAAAGCAAAGAAGACATATCTTTGTAACCATGCGCAGCACCGTACAAGTAATAAATCGCCCCTGGATTGTTCATGCAAATTCAAAATTTAACAATTTCTAGCGCTCTTGATGTGAAAAATTTGTAGTTTTTTACCCGATTGGGTAGGGGATTCTACTCTAACATTTGTAATTTAGCTAATGGTATCCCATCTTTTCAATTTTCGGGATACTTCGGGTCAATGCAGCGATTAAATTCAGAAGATGCCAATAGAAAAACTCTTGAGTAGGAAATCATTATGACTATGCTCAATGTGGTGAGAAGTTTTCAATAAGGTTAATTTGTGACTAATTTATATTCAAGGCAGTAGTCGGCAAGAAAAAAGGGAAGATGATAACAAAATATTTACATTTCCTTCAATAAAAACCAGTTCAACTTCTAATACGTTTCAAAATCCTTCTCTACATTCTGCCAATTCAGAGCATAAAAGTCATCTTATGGATTATCGCAATTCTTCTCTATGAATCTAAACGATTTGATTCGAGGTAAGCACAAATATTACTCAATATTTCTCCACTATAAAATCATTATTCGCTGACAACATCATACAAAATGTACATGTACATTCGTCCTGTTTAACCGAACATCCATGCCTCAATTGATGCGCACTCTGCAGTTCCTCAGTACACAATAAATACTCGCGACAGCGTGCTCTCCGGCAGCCTGCAAGGCATCATTTTGAGTGCAGGCCCTTGCGCACGCACTCTGCCGGCGTGGCACAAAAGGCGCCAGTGTTGTGGCCCTTCCATCCTTGGCAGTGAGGCTCCAGGCGCCACACGCAGCAGAGCTGCAGAGACTCGGGCAGAGTCCAAGGCGCGTCTCTCGCTATCGCTACATCGCGCGGTGTTATTGCAGCAAATGACGGAAAATTATGACGGTACTTAGCGCAGATATTAGGTCGTTTGAAGCAAAAGAAACTCAGTTTAGGAGTTTAACAGAGAGTTTTGTGGTCGAAACTCGTGTACCGATATAGTGTCTATGTTCTAGAAGTGAACTTGAATTATACAGGATCGTGCAATGACTGCTTTGGCAGTGGAAAAAGTTTGCTCTTCAATTCGTGCCATGAATTCATTGTGTTGGGCGGTACAAGACAGTGAGTGAATTTTGTGAGCTCGCGAAAATAACAAGCGAAGAGGTCCATTGAGGGATAATCTAACATTGCGTAATCATGGTACGCGAAAGCTTATGAACATGAAGCCCTTAGCACAAAAGTTCTATTGGAAAAAATCTGTTCTAATATTTCTAATAATTAAATGCTTAAAAGTTCTGATGTATCTAGAAAAAATCGTGCGGCAATGCTGTGATAAATGAAGTCTTCTCTGAGTAGATTGCAGTTTTTTAACTAAATTCAACTAATCGTTTTATAATTAAAGTATTTTTTATGAACAACGATGATATATGAAATACAAATGCATGTATTTAAACCACGAAAAATCCCTTTGTTGCTTCCTTGTCATCCGTCCGAATTGACGATATTGCATTGTCTTTAATTTCCGATTAGCACTCATTCATGAATTTATTGTTCGCTTGCATGCTTATTTATTTCCAGTTGAATTTTTAAAGTATGACTGAAATCATCTAGAGAATTTTTAAAACTTTATCAAGGATAATAAAACACGTTCGATAAAAAAGTTAAAGTTTAAAACGAGAAGCTTTATTCTGCTATTCTGCTGCCCAAAACTCTAAGCTCGCCTATGAGCGATCTGAAGTTCTGGACGTTAAACGTTAGTTATATATATGTACATCATTGCCATTTAAAATTGCAACAAATAATTGCTCTGAATAATAGGACACCATTTATCAGTTACTCAACGACGGTTATGGAACCAAAAATATTCAGAACTTACATTATCCATTATCATGAAAGATTTTCTACTCCTCTAGGTTTAACTTTATGTTTTTGTGAGACTATATTATTAATTGCAATCAATAAATTCTTGTGCATTGAAAGGGAACCAATAAATATGATAAAAACATTGAATTACAACTAATAACCAAAATTCGTCTGACTTGTTTATTCTGATATTGATAACATTCAATTTCTTATTTGTTAAAATTGATTAAAGGCAGGATATAAAGTGTAGCAAATTTGTTACTCGCATTTTTTTCACAACGGAGGTTAACAACCAGCGCTGTTCTGACAGTAATACAAACACACATGTACTATTATTGCAACAACATTGACATACACAAGAAAATTGAATTGAAAGACGAGCAAATGTAATTAAAGAATTTGTGCCTTCAGTTATGATTCCGTGGTCTCCAAAAAAAAGACCATGAATGTGGCGACGATGAATGTGATAATGGTTTACTATGAACTTTGAACAATACATGCGAAATGTAAAATGAAAAATTACCTGAAAATAAGGATTTGAGTGCCTTTGGGGTGATATTTATTGTTCTCACTTACGTTTTCGACGTTTTGTTTTCATACGGCGTCAAGATTGGATATACCTGCCTTGTGTCCTGCCCAGGGAATGATATGGTCGTCTTGTGTATGGAAAAAAGTTCCAAATGCTCGACACGATTCTTTCGGCTGAAGCTATGCTAAAGTTGCAACACAAATATGATCTGTACGTATATTCCGTATATGTAAGAATTGAAGTGTCTTCTGTGCATGTAGACAAGCCGATTGGTAGTGCGAATTTTTTTGTCAACAACAAATGAGATTTTCCAATATTTGTTTATATTCAAAAATTTCATGATGCTGGAAAGTTCATCATTGAAAGGCATTTTTTTCAGAATCATTTCCACATGAGTTAGAATCATTAATCAATCAATTGAATCTAGTTGTCAAATTAGTAAGTTGGAAAAAAATAATAAAGATTAGTGACACCATTATATCACTGTAAGATGAATAAAATTAGATATGGTATGACTTCGAAATAATTTATATCGATATGTTATGATTTCATAATAAACGAAGAGCCCATAAATTATATTTGTAATCGATCACAGCTATTCTATAAATGGGGTATGAAAAATATGAATATGATCTATTATAATATAGATAATAATTCACTATGCACTTTTTACATATTTTGTGAGCAATTATTGGATTACTTCATTGCTTAGTCGAGCATTTATCGAAGCGTTAAATCCGACGAAACTATGCAAAATAAAATCCAAAGAAAAAACATTCCAACTGCTTTGAGATAAAAATGGGATTGAACAGTATTCTCTTAAAAAAACTAATGCTTTAAAAATTCACTTACGACAATGCATAAAAGAAATAGGAAACGTTGAAGGGTTGATGTTGCTCGACGTAAAAAAACTTCTTCTGTCGACAGTCCACAGATACGACACTTCAGTTTATTCAAAATTTAATTTTAATATATTTACTTATTCAATATTCATTCTTCCCTCCTACTATTAAGTTTAATTATGCACAAACTGAGTGCTTTGTTCCTCTTCCCCATTCTGGCTTCCTACAGGGATTCGTGAGTATATTTGCTCTATCGTTTCGGCTATTTGCTTCCATGCTTGACTTTCTCTCTATTTCTTAATTAATGACCATCCTCGCATCGTCTCTTTCAGCTTGAAAACATTTAATTTAGTTCTGAATGCATTATTTCTTCAGGATTAAGATATTATTTTAAAATTCGTTCAAGAAACTTTATTTTACTGTTTTTAACATTTACCGGTTTATATACAATAAATAAAAATAACCAGCTTACAAATTCACCCCAGCATTATTTGATGAAATATCGGACATTATGAATGATATTGGACATGTTAACTAACTGAAGTTGCGATTTACTGTTCATCTAGCGTAAATACATCTTGTTGGAGGTCTTGTGCTATGGGTAGTAATTAAATAACACTTGTTTAATCTTCATCACCCACGCAGGCAAAGAAAGTAATCAATTAATACTTGCTAGATTTATAGCCCCCGCGCAGGCAAGGAATGTTATCAATTAGTACACATTGGATTTTCAGCACACACGCAAGCACAGGAAGTAAACAATCAATACTTGAGTTGAATATTATTATCGTTAGCCTTGATGCAAGCAGTCAGTTCTATTGCCATGTTATATGGCTCTTAATACGTGGCAAATAGTATGTTACAGGTTTCTGTGTCTCCAATAAGAAATACAAAAGAGGATAGTTACACCTTGTTGCAGAAAAACGGGTTTGAGGGATGTATATATATCTTTTATTTTATATTTTATTTCGATTTCGGATGAATTACTGGCATATATTATGACAGTTTGCACTGTTAATCAATTTGAAACATTATAGAAATGCATGTTACTTTGCCAAATTTTCTGGAACTTTTTTACGCATCTTGAACTAATTATGACTTTTTGCAACAATGATGATTTGTCTTCTACCATAACAGTTTAATCTTAGAATGTGAAATCTGATAATCTTTTAACATTTGCAAGAAACAATTATCTTCCATCTAAACTTCTGAGAATGATAAAGCAGCAAGAGGTGCACTTACAAGTAATTTTTTATCACCCTTGGGTCAAAAAGTTTCGAATTGACGAGATCATCCCATCGTCAATATTCACCAAAGGCCGTTTGGTTCATTTCATAGCATATACTAAACAAACTTCCTTGATTTCAGCAATTGTGTAGATGAGCCACTGTTTACTTCAAGAATTATGATCAATGCATCGAGCCATAGATGGCGAAAATAATAGCGATGAATTACAGTAAAGTCACTGCTTCAATAATAAAAATTTCAATACAGCTATTAGATCCATTTCAAGGAATTTCATCAAGAGCTTTCGCACTCACGCATTATAAAAAGAAGCTTTTCGATTGGCGATCAAAAGGGCAATTTCCTAGACGCAACGAGTCAGTTAACTCAGGTAATCGATGTACGCAGTGAAAAAAATTCGGATAAGTGGAAATCTGCAGCAAAGAAGCCACCACGAAAAAGTACTCTTATCCAACGAGGAACTTGTGACTTCCGCAAACTTTTGTTTCCCTACAAACGGCTTCTTTAGCAAAGACGGAGTCTCCCGAAATTTCTGCTTGGGAGGGGGAGGCAACTCTTGAATATTTTTTAAGTACATATTTAAGTACACGTACATTCGAACTTCTGAACGACCAAATTGTATCCAAACGAGCCATTGAAAAGCGGTTTGAAATAAAAGGCTGTGTGAATCTTTTTGTATAAAATTTCGTATTTACATTGTTTTAATTTCATGATAAATACATCTCGCTCTAATAGCTCCACGAATGAAGTACAGATAAGTTCGTAGCCAGTTTAAACACCGCATACAATCAACATGGGTGCTGTAAACTGCACATGAAAATATCAGATCCGGGAGCTGAATTACAAATTAGAAATATGTGGTTCAGAAATTTGAACCTATGTAAAGTAACTAAAATTTTATCAAGTGATTCTTGAAGGATTTATTTTGAAATCCATCTACATGTTGCTCAAGGGAGAAGCTTAATTATTATATTGAAAAGGGCACTGGATTTAGAAGTTCTTGGGACTGAATGTTTTCAAGTGCTTAATCGAGCGAAAAATTCACCCTATCAAATCCTCTTGGGAAAAAGTAATACTAATTGTTTAGGTCACTCATAAACGTCTTATTAAATAAAATTTAAAATTCAAAATTATTATCGAAGCGTTAAGAGGTCACCACTCATTTATTTTTTCCCACCTATAATTCAAATTGGATATTCCCGTGCCAAAACAAGGGTTCTTAATCTAGCGACAACCTCTGCTTTGATTGCATACAAGACCTTTAGAAGTCAGTTGCATCTCAGTCCAAATAAACCAAGCGCAACATTCAAGTTATTACTGATTGCTGATAATGCAAATGCGCTCGTACGTCGATTTGAATTGCAGCTGAAGTTCGAGCATCGCAGGATTTCTGGAAATGTGGAATTGGAGTGCCTTTTTTTTGCTCTTAGATGCGAAAGCATGCAAAGTTGTGTGGCTCGGCTTGTTTCAAATTCTAAGACATGCACCATGTCAGAATAATGTTTGCAGCGCAGGATAGTGTTAGCCACCGTCAATATTCGCTTGGTTTTTTCCATCGTATAATAGGTTTTGCGCATATTTTGTGCTGTACCTTTAGAAACCTAGAAGTTTATGGTGTGTCAGTGGTCATTTATCATTTAACTCACACATGCATGAGCGCTCTTAGATTGGAAATTCTACAATCGCGTCGATAATAAATAATCATGGTTGTAATTTTTTACTTTCTTTGCACGATATTTTTGATGGAGATATGTCCCAAAATGCGCGGAATTGCAATAGCCTTCATTGGCAGGTGCCACTCACCAAAGCATTTATAGGCACGCTGTAGGTGCCTGCGTGTTCCCCATATCGGCAAGCTGTCACACACTGTATGCCGACACGGCCTCAGCGTTGTGTCCAGTAAGCAGTTTAGTCCTAAACAACGAGGCCATTCATCTGCAAAAGCACGACATAAGTGCCGCGGTCGCCTCATAGCTAGATTAATAAGGCAAGATTGCCTATGGATCGCCTGAATCAGCATCCGGGCTGCTGCTTTAGATGCTGGTACAGCTCACTTCGCGAGAATTTTAGAATAAAGAAGTAATTGATGGTGGACGTTTACATTGAAAAGAAAATAACGTGGACTCGGTGACCCCCTGTCTTTATAAAAATTAGAGTTTGATTTAGATCAAATACATTTTTTTGTATTAATCGTTTGCATAAAACGATTAAGCTCATGCAAACGCTTTTCGTTTGCGACAACGGTTGAATTTTTTTCTTAATACTAGGAATAAATTCGAGATCACCAGTAAATTCAACTTCGAAAATGTTTTATTCCAATGCAACTTATTGCACAAGAGTTGAATTCACAAGTAGCTGGCTGAAGAGACGATGCTTTTATGGGAAGCAGCCGGTGGGACAGTCGTAATGGTGCCTCGATCACAGGCTGTCAATTGTGTGGCTACAGACTGTAACTTCACTAGCTAACTTCGACAGCCTGGGACAAGCGAGCTCTTCAACAAGTTCTCCGTATTGAGTGCATATAGTCATGGTTATATATAAATATAAAGTAAATAAAGTATATATAAAGTATAAAAATTCTATTTCAGAACGATTTATTTTGAAAAACTGTTTAAAAAATGGATTGTCCCTGAATGGCAATTAATGTTCTGGTAAACACGCTGCAGAATGTTTGCAAGTCTTGAATTTTTTCAGGTCTGTATCATGTGAATAACTATCACTTAGACAGACGTCCTAAAAACTTGTTCATGATTTTAACGAGGAAAAAATATGTACTCGTTTCCATGGACCTCCATTTAAAAAAATTTATATACGACACAGCCCTTTTCGCAAGAGGCATAACTTGTACAATTCACTGACTGGGATGCGTTGGCAGAAGAAACTTCATCTGATTTATCGTGAATGTTGCTGCTTTTTGTTGTCGCCCTCGTGACTTGCATTTGCCCCGAACTTGATATCTTACTTGCTCAAGTTTAAAGAAGAAAGTTTGCGTTTAAGTTGCTCGGCCACTCTTCGAATGCTGTTACTTCTTTGACAAGTTACAGCAGCCATAAACGGACAATGCAGTGGATGTACTCGGTTATATGTTGCAAGAGGAGTCGGAATTTAAGTCTAAATTACTAACAAAAGTGATAGCTTTTTATGTGATTTTTTTTCGTTAGTGCAGCACTCAAATCTGCGACGAATTCAAAACTTTAACGGGCTACGAAATTGAGACAACTCGTTTTCACATTAATTTTGCTCTGTATATTGTCTTCAGAAAACTGGTTTTCATAAGTGACACATTGAACCTATTTATATCATAATTGTACTATTTAGGTCCAGACGACTATATTCGACTGGTACGACTATATTTGACTTAAGGTCCAAACTGGTGATTTGAATGACTGGTATCGAGATTTATTCTACGTGTTTAGGTTAGTACGACCGATTTTAATGCCGAGTCAATGTCTTCAGGGCCAGAAAACATTTTTTACATTCTATCATCGTACTTTATCCTAGTACTACGTAGTTATCCCAGTAAGGCTGGTTCTCACATTTACATTCAGGTTCAACAGGCTACTAGATTGCACTTAGAGCTTCAGTTTCTCGGTAATATGTGAGTTTGAATTAGGATTTTGTTCACGCGTGTGAATCTTTGCCGCATTTGCTTATTTTCAATATGTTGACCCGACTTTTCCTTCCTGCAACCCTGCAAATCAGAGGAAACTTCACCGAGCGGCACAACAACGTCGTCTCCAGCCTTGATAATGATAAGTAAGAGATTCCTGGAACGTAGCATTTGAAAAGCACTGACACTTGGAGATCGAAATTTTTATTTCCACGTCGATATCACTTTACACACTTAATTTAACATTTGCTTGCTCCAGCATGCTTTAAGTGTACGGGAAGCTGTTCTAAAGAATGGCGTTACGACTCTTACACTTGAATGATGGTGGTTGTGTAGGTGCTCTGTAGTTTGCGTGTTAGTTCAACGCAATTAATGGCTCA